TGTCAGGAGTTTCTGTTTATTTCTTTGTCTTATTGGTAAGGTGTTTGTATAGTGAAATGTCAGGAGTTTCTGTATATTTCTTTGATGGTCTTATTGGTAAGGTGTTTGTATACTGAAATGTCAGGAGTTTCTGTGTAATTCTTCGTCTTATTAGTAAGGTGTTGGTATGGTGAAATGTCAGGAGTTTCTGTGTATTTCTTTGATTGTCTTATTGGTAAGGTGTTCATATGGTAAATTGTTAGGAGTTTCTGTGTATTTCTTTGTCTTATTTTTAAGGTTTTCATATGGTAAAATGTCAGGAGTTTCTGTGCATTTCTTTGATTGTCTTATTGGTAAGGTGTTTGTATGGTGAAATGTCAGGAGTTTCTATGTATTTGTTTGATTGTCTGATTGGTATGGTGTTTGTTTAGTGAAATGTCAGGAGTTTTTGTGTATTTCTTTGATTGTCTTATTGTTATGGTGTTCCTATGGTGAAATGTCAGGAATTTCTGTGTATTTCTTTGTCTTATTGGTATGGTATTTGTATGGTGAATTGTCAGGAGTTTCTATGTATTTCTTTGTCTGATTGGTAAGGTGTTTGTATAGTGAAATGTCTGGAGTTTCTGTGCATTTCTTTGATTGTCTTATTGGTATGGTGTTGGTATGGTGAAATGTCTGGAGTTTCTGTGTATTTCTTTGATTTTCTTATTGGTAAGGTGTTTGTATGGTAAAATTCCTGGAGTTTCTGTGTATTTCTTTGATTGTTTTATTGGTAAGGTGTTTGTATAGTGAAATGTCTGGAGTTTCTGTGTATTTCCTTGATTGTCTTATTGGTATGGTGTTGGTATGGTGAAATGTCTGGAGTTTCTGTGTATTTCTTTGATTTTCTTATTGGTAAGGTGTTTGTATGGTGAAATTCCTGGAGTTTCTGTGTATTTCTTTGATTGTTTTATTGGTAAGGTGTTTGTATGGTGAAATGTCAGGAGTTTCTGTGTATTTCTTTGATTGTCTGATTGGTAAGGTGTTTGTATAGTGAAATGTCAGGAGTGTCTGTGTATTTCTTCCAAATGGACTGTTCCTTATTGCAAAACTTGCAGCATGCATACAAGATAGTTCTGTTTGCAATTGGTATGTGGCTCTGTGCCTAACACTCGCTTGCTTTGGCCATCATGTGCACATCCTTGTTTTGTTTTGCTCAACATCCACCAGGGATATTATTGATTTGCACATTTCTGTTTCTCCTGCACTTTTCACAACCACATTTGTCTAACGAGATTTTTAGAAAAATTAGGCATATACATCTTGTACAGATTCACAAAAGTATCATCTAATGTTTTTTTTAAAAAAAATAATGCTAGGTAACAATTTTTTTAGTCCAAAGTACTTTTAACCATTTCTGGTACTTAATCAATTGCCTGTTGCGAAAAATGAGCACTTCTTCCAAGCATTTGTGAAGGATGATGAGCATTGTTAATGTAAAGCCGGAGGCTGCACATTTATACATAGCATGTTACTCTGTCATTGGTGACAACAGGTGCTCTTCAAAGAAAATGAAACTTTTTTATCAGTAACATGATATTTCACCTGAAGTATCTTACATAAACAGGCCACTGAAATCAACAAGGGTTGAGGCACCATGCATTATCAAACATTCTCAATTAAAGTAGCAAGTAACATTGCCTTGTGATTATTGATGACATTCTAAGTCTTACCTTCAATTACCAAACTTTTAAGTAGGAAATAACTGTTACATCAGAGATACAAAAGGGATTAATTTCCCTGATCTGACACCAAAGATTCCATTTTTGTCCATGGCAAATTATATATATTGTTTAGTTGTTCCTGGTCTCCATGAATTGTTAAATATGTCCACAGTTGTTGTGAAAAGTCCTTGGTTTTGGAGCAATCTTCTGATAAATATTCAGGGTTTTCATGGAAAGATTGATCAAGTGAAGTTATTGCTAACCTCTCCAAATAATAATATCCATTTATTTGGACTCTGAAACAATGTCAACAGAAAATCAGAATGAAAATTTCTTGTATATCAATGACTATCACAAACCTTATCGAAGGGATAGGAAAGCAGGTGGTGGTGGGCTCTTTGTGTTTGTTAGAACTAGTACTATTTGTAAAAGACATGAAGACCTAGAAATACAGGAAATAGAATCTATTTGGCTACAGATCACTCCAGAAAAAGCTAAGGTTTGTGTACAGACCCCCATGTGAATATTTTGAACTTTAAGTAGATATAATTTCAAGAGAAAGAATTTTACATTCTAGGCATTATAAATAGAGACCTTCTCAATGATCACTTAAAAGTGAATTGGATGACTTTTATTGCTTTGTTAGATATGGAGCAACTAATAAATTAACCCATCAGAGTAACATCTACTTCTAAAACGGTTCTAGATCATTTTTATACCAATATAAAAGATAATGTTTTGGAATTGGAAGTAATGGTTCTAAAGATTGGTATAAGTGACCACTTTGCAATTTTTCTAACACATAAAGTCAATGGCAATTAAAAAAATAATATCCATAAATCCATGCTTATAGATCTTTTCAAAACTTTGATACTGTTAAATTCCTGAAAGATCTGAATCAGATTCCAGGGAATACAGTCCAAATCTTTTTAAAGATATTAATGATGTTTTGGATAATTGGACAGATTTGTTCATCGGTATTGTTACGTGTCTAGGCTCATAAAATTTTAGGAAATAATTTATTTTCCTAAAAAACCAAGGTAAGAATGAGAAAAAAAAGTTATGGTTTATAAATCAAATCCAAAATTAATCCAAGAATTAAAAAATATAAGTCCTACCAATGAAAAGTCCTAAATGAAATCACAGTTCAAAACCGAATGAATCCAAGAGTGAAGGTGATGATATCTTCGATAGTCAGCTTTTTACTGATGTGTCAATGTCTTTGTCCAAGAATCAATTTAGGAACACTTTTATTCCATGCTAAATAAATTACTAATTCCCAAAGATAAAAATTAAACTCAAACTAAGGTCACAGCAAAACACCTTTGACTATCAAAGGTTTAAAGCAAACTTGCTATTTCTTGTTATAACTTTTAGTTATAAGACTATCTAAACACAAAACAGATTCCCATATGAGGGTAATGTGATCCTTTTTTAGAACAACGTAGCAACATTTACATGCCTGACATCACATACTCTAGTATGGTCTTAGTTAAAATCAATGGTTCTTACTCTGGGAATGAATAATAAAATTTTTTTTTCTTAAAAGTTGTGAGTCAGAACTGACGCTGGTTCTAAATCAAGATCAGCAAATAGATACAATGTTTCTCCTACTGGCTGTTTATCAGGTAAGACAGAACTGAATTGAATTTCTAAAAAAAATATCAAATCCAGTAGACAAAATTATCATTACAATAACATGAAAAATGGATTAAAAAAAATTAAAAAAAGTTTAAAACTAACAAACAAATAATTTAAATTACATATCATAACAGCATAGTGAACAAACATGCCCCTTTAAAAACACACTGGATAAAGAAAGACCACCAGCCAGGCTGGATCTCCCTAGAAAGTATAAAAGCAATAAAACAAGGAGACCAACTAAAATCAGTAGGAAATCAAACTGAATATAGAGTTTTGAAAAATAAAGTTAATAAAATGATACATCTAGCCAAACAAGTGAACTGCAACAAAGTGCTGGATGAAAACCAAAATAACTTGAAAGCTATCTGGAAAGTGTTTACAGAGTTTGGTGCAGGCAAATATAAGAAAAAAACTGAAATTTTATCCCTCAATCATGAGGGCATTTATAATGATAATCTAAAATATTTTTAATGACTTTTTCATTCAAATTACTGAAAAACTTAAGAACCCAGAACTTAATCTGATCATCTGGAACTCAACTATTTTTGTGCTCAAAATATAGTAAACAATATAAAGTTTGAAATTCCTCAAATGAGTCCAGAATTTGTGTTGAAATATATTTAGAAAGATGAAAATCATTGTAAAGCTACAGGACTTGATTTGATTGGACAGGCTACTAAAGGTAGCTGCACCTGCAATTGTAAAGAGCATAGCTTTCATTTGCAATGTAAGCATTCAGTGAGGTCTAATAAATTTCCAGAGTGACATGGAAAACTGCCAAGGTTACACCATTGCATAAAGCAGAAACAAAAGATCATGTAAATAACTTTGTCTCTCCATATTACTAGAAAAACATGTACATGATTCATTTATCAGCTATTTGAACAGTTATGATATTATACATGATAGTTAATCTTGCTTTAGATGGAATCACTCCTTTGAAACTGCAGTTGTATCATTGATTGATAAATGGCTGAAAGCATTAGATCAAGGAGAAATGGTAGACACTATTATGGTTGATTTTCATAAAGCTTTTGATCTTGAAGACCATGAAATTTTGCTTGAATAACTAAAATTTTATCACTACAGTGAAAACTGCCAAAACTGGTTTACTTCTCACTTAACTTATAGAGTGCAAAAAGTATCTTTAAATTATCAACTTTCTGAAAGTAATAATATTAATTGTGGAGTACCACAGGGCTCTATCCTTGGACTTCAGTTATTCATTCTATTTATCAATGATTTATCTCTTAAGAATGGAACTTTATTTTCTTCCACTAACCTCTATGCAGATGATACTACACTGTCTGAGATGGGTAAAACCAAACCGGTACTTAAATAGCTTATAAGATGCTCTCAACAGACAGTATGGTGCAAGGAAAACAGTATAATCATAAATACAGAAAAAAAAAACAAAAGCCCTACTAGCTAAAACACAAAAAAATGAGAAAGGCTAGACAGTGTAAGCTGTAATATGACTTCTCATGATAAAATTCTTGGTGTATTCATAGATAACAATCTTACTTGGTATATTCACATTAAACATGTTTCAAAAAAGGTTAATTCTTATCTTTGGCTACTGAGGAAAAATCAAAACATACACTCCTCTTCAGTATTATGGCTCATCTTTTATAAAAGTTTTATTTCAGCCATATCTGGACTATTGTAATGAACCGCTCTGGTGGCCTAGTGGTTATAGTGTACGCCTCGGATGCGGGAGGTCCTTGGTTTGATCCCCGGTTGAGTCATACCAAAGACTTACAAAAATGGTACTAATAGCTGCCTCTTTTGACACTCAGCATTAAGAGGTTAGTGTTAGGACTGGTCGGCCTGGTGTCAGGATAATGTGACTGGGTGGGACATCATGCTACATGCATGATGCCCTAGTGGTAGACATCACTATAAATTGCCACACTTCAGATATTGTAGTGATATGACTGCAAATTTTTTAAAGCTACATTAAAAGTCATAATCACATCACATCACTATCATAATGTAATTTGAGGTAATACCTCTAATTAAAACATAAGAACACTTTTAAGACTCCAAAAGAGTGCTTGCTATTTAATTCTAGATCAATATATCGACAAATTCCAGGGTGCAATGGATAATATAAAATTTTTAACAATACATGAAAAAAATATTTCTTAGAAAGGCCAGATTGATGTATAGAGTATCCAGGAAAGCCATCCCTGTCCATCTAAGCAATATCTTTCACCAAAGTGATGCTGATGGTACTCCAAATTTAAGTTCCATAAGAAGTAAAAATTACATTATACCAAGGCCAAAGGAGGAATTGTTTAAAATTTTTTTCAATATACTGGTCCACTGACATGTAATAACACTCCCAGTTACATAAGGCAGTCTCCCTGCATTTCTTCTTTTCATAATCAATGTCTCAATTGGATGAAGTCTTTAGAAAATTGAGCAGTACTAGTACAATAAATACCATCAGCTTTTCTGTAATTTGGATCATTTTCACAGTTGAATTTTCAATGGAGGATGATATTTTATATTTTATGTATGTTTATGTTTTCATAGATGCTTCTACATGTTTTCCAGGCTTTATACTAGGAAAAAATGTGACCAAATTAAGTTAAAATTTTCTTCCAAGAAAAATAATATACCTGTTTTAGGACTCACTGAAACCAAATTAAATACTAACCACAATGATGATCTATTTCAATGTCAAGGCTACAATAAACCATTAGGCAGGGACAGAGAGACAGCAAAGGGAGGTATTGAGAGTATCTGGGCAGAAATTTATCAAAATAATGCAAAATCATTCCTAGTGGGTTTCATTTATAGGCCACATTCTTCCAAGGCAATTTGGAATGATAACTTTTTGAAACAAATGGAAAATGTTCTTGCACAAGAGAAAGAAACATATATTATGTGATATAAATAAGGACATTTTCAATACTCAAATAAGGAACAACTGGATGGAATTTATTGAATCATTTTTGCCTAGTCCAGCTGGTAAATGACCCCACTAGGGTAACAGAAACATCAAGTACTCTTATTGATCATATTTATACCAACCTACCAGACAATATGGCTTGTGTTTATGTACTGAATGTTGGTGTTAACAACCAATATCCTTTTTTGACAAGAAAGGTTAAATGCAAGAGAAATAAGAAAAATCACACAAAACTATCACTTATAGATCATTAAAAATTTTAATGAAGAACAATTTCTCAATGACCTATATAAAGTTCCATGGATTATGATCCAAAATTTGGATGACATAGCTCTTAGTTGTGGACTGACTTATTTATAGATGTAGTCAATAAGCATGCACCACCATTGAGTAAAGAATGAAATCCAACCTAATTAACTTACTAATGCAATCCTTGATGCTATGAAAACATGAGACCAATTCAAGGCTATGAACCAAAGTGAAAAACACTCCACCCAACATAGTCAAATCTGCACCATGTTCACCCTCCCCCTTCTTGGCAACAGTTGGTATTCTGAATATGTGTTTAATATCCCACTGAAAGGCACTTTGATTTACAAAATGTATTAATTTTGCTTGATATCCACAAAAAGAACCATAGGATTGCAGTTATAGTAAAGTTAATTGAACTTGCATATATGGAGTCACTGTATGGCTGGAGCTTTCTTTAGGAATCTCGGTACTAATTCAGTTCCCATAGTAAACCTATGCAAACACCATGATATAAAAAATTCAATAACTTACAATTTTGGAGTACTCATGCCCAAACTTATATTTATCAGTTTAGATGAAACCTGGACATCAGCTTCTGTGCAGAGGAAAGGATATGAGTCGTAGCATTTTCTGGAGCATCATATGTTTGAAACATGTGCTTTCAATTCCACACAAAAGAGTCAGGTGCTATTTTTAGTAAGGAGTGTTCCTTACTCAAGACTATTAAAGAACTGAAATTCCATCAATAAAACAATGTTTTTATTTTTATTCATTTTCAACTAGGATAAGATCTCAAAAGATTATTTTTCCTAAAATTTAACTTATATTATTAACCAATCCTGGTCAGCCAAACCCGTATATATGCTATTTAAAGTTCACGCATTTCTAGGCTGGTTTCCATTTTTCAATACAATTAGTACTGTGTGTCTTACAGTTGTGTTCAGATATAATTCTAGAAGAATTATTTATCTAAATTATTCTTTGGAATTACAAAGTGCTTATTGACTTTTTTGGACTGAAACATTACTTTGTGGTTGTTGAGAACTCAGTCAAAGACAGTCTGGTATGTGTCACTGTTGTACATTTATTGGAATTCTTTCAGACCATTCAATACTTTTGGACTTGTGATTGAACATTGATTATTATTGGGATTTAATTCACTATACTGTAAGTGTCTCTTAAATTTTCACTTTGTAAGGCAAGAAACAACTTTTTGTTTATTTTGCTAAACTTGATAGCTTTTTCTTACATAGTTTATTGCCTAGAGTTTAACACCAGTTGTAAGTAGGTCATTGCTTCACAAATGAACTGGGTTGGTATCAATATTTATTAATGTTCTGGTAAAATCATACAATAAGAGGACAAGTAATGATTTCCATGCAGGATGGTGAAATGATTGCAAGATGGTAAAATGGTTGCTCATGTGATGGCATTGTTTTATTTAGATGATTTTGGTTACAATTGTCTCATAATTATCAAAAATTCAAATAATGTGCATACATGTATTTTTTTTTTATTTAAGGCACATCTATGTTAGTGATATTGGCCTTTTAGATTTGAATGTCAGCTGCTAACAAAGTGCAATTTGTTTTCAAGAGAAGCTGCTTTCCTCAATTGACAAGTTGCAGCCTTAATTACAACCTTAACTAAAAGCTATATTCCATTATGGATTGATGCTGTAAATAGGAAGTTTCACGGAGAGGGGGGTAAAGAAGTCTCTATCAAATACCAAAGGTTAGGAGCCTTACATAAGCAGATTCTCAGAACTTGAAAGCTGTTGAACAAGTAGTTAATTAGAATTTCAATGTTTATTAGTTGTGTCAGTGAATGAGAATTATTTCCTTTCTTTCCATTTAATGACAGATACCTAATGTTCTGTCTTCTGGCAATGTTAAAGAAAAAAAAAATGTGACCATTTTTTTGCCTTGAAATTTCACAATCTTGTTTATGCACTATTGTTTTTGGACACAGTTGTTACAATTTCAGACTTGTATGAAGAATTGTGATAAAGTAAAACTGATCTTGTAGGGCTGGAAAATGCTGCTGGCATATAGGTCTATAAACATGGAATAATGTTCAGTCAAGGAATTAAATTTAACCATTATGCACCAAAAATAATGAAGAACCATGTATCACTTAGTTTTTAAATGACCAAATAAGGAGGCTTTAGGTCCAGGTTAATAATAATAATAATAATAATAATAATAATAATAATGATAATAATAATAATAATAATAATAATAATAATAATAATAATAATAATAATAATGGCTAATCTTTCATGAGACCATTTAGGGCATTCAATATGTAAGAAATCTCATGAAAAGTCATTAATACTGTTTTTAATAACCATAAATAAGCATTTAGATAAAGTTTTTGATACTAATAAGTATAATCTAAAAGAAGGCATTAAGGACAAAGAATTTTGTAAATATCTCTGAAGAAAAAACAATCTGCTGTAAGTAACGGCAAGTCAAAGATTATTAATACAGGTGTTCATATCCTGGAAACTCTTGTTTGTTATTGATATAAATGATCTGCCGATTCCTCTTAAAGAAGCTGAGGTAAACATGTATGCAAATAATACTGTTTTATCTCTGTTGACAAAACTATTGACCAAACAAGATCAGTTTTGCAGTTAGTGCTCACTATAGTCTGTGATTGGTTGATTTAAGAAAAATGAAGTCTCCACATGATCAAGACATAGTTCATGCTCTTTTTTTCTATTAAAAAAGAAGTCTCCACATACTTCATGCATTTTATACAGAAAAAGCAAAATGTTTTAGATACTGACCTATTTCTTGAACTTGAGAATAAGACAGACTCAAGAGTTGAGAACTGTGATTACTTGGGTAGTAATTTAAACAAGAACTTAACTTCCAAACAGATAATTACAGAAAGCATTTGGTATAATTAGCATTTGGTATTGGGTTTTAAAAATGTGTGAAAGTTCATTCCAATCCTTGCTAAGAAATCTTCACACTCATTCTTTCAAACATGAATTATTTATTTGTGTAGTTTGTAAATGACTTGTGGTGATGGACTTCAGAAAATGCAGAATTGCAACCAGCACATAATTTTAAACTGTCATTAGGACATGCACCATAATCAGCTAAATTTTCTGAGTGTTTCAGAACATTCATGTACAGTAGACACAGGTTGATGCAAAAGGTCATACATGGCTTGGCTATAAAAGCCTCAATTGACCAATAGAATAGGACATGTATATTGGTAGAGGTCACAACATTTCTCTTTCACTATTAAGGTCAAGGGGATGGAGTGACATCCCTTTACAAGGTCAAGGGGATGGAGTAACATCCCTTTACAAGGTTCAGGGGATGGATTGACATCCCTTTATAAGGTCCAGGGGATGTTGTGACATCGTATTAGAAGTACAATCCGCTTCTAACTTTAAGCATTTAAGAAAAATGAGTACAGTAAATAAAATCTACTAAGAGAGTAATGTTGACATTTTGTTTGTTTCATATTGATATATTGTAGTACTTAATATTGCTTTTATGTTTGTATTGTGTTATCAGATTTTGCCCCCACCCTTAAGTTGTGGTTACTGTCTAA